CTGCATGATCGATCAAAAATTCATCAACACTTTCAGTGTTTTTGTCACATCGAATTCGCTGCTATTGTATTTTACCGATGTAGCGCGAGGACATACAAAACACTTTAGTGTAACAACACTGATTCTGACATCAGATAATGCTGGTTCGGTTGGTGATTACCAATCAAATTCGGGCATGATAATGATCAATTGTAATGAAATGATGTTTATTTGAGAATTTTATGAAAAGAGTACACGTATAAAAACAGAAATGTATAAAGTATAAAAACAAATTATACGTACAAAAAACATTAACTCACAGTACACTTTCAAAATACTAACGAATGGAATTCAAAACGAAACAGCATTCCTTCAACATACAAAAATTTGACGAACAGTAAAAAAATTCAAGTGAAAGGGATAACACGAAAAAGTAAATCAATTGACGATCATCAAAATGCATGTGGTACACGGATGAATGAGCATCTAAACTACATAAAATTCGAAATGATTTCATGGAAGTAGAAAAAAACGAAATGCTTACGATTAGAGATGAAACGTGCAAAGACTCATGAATTGTGAAAAAATTACAAATAGCCAAGATTAGTCAAATGAAATGCATAACAAAGCCGAACTTATTTCATTTGAATGCTATGCGGTGACGACAAAATGCATGAGAATGATTATTTAAGGGAAGTTTGAAAAAAATCGAACAGCAGGAAATATGATGGATACGGAAAACAAAAGCGATTTTTACTACAGTTTAAACAACTTTCGAACTGAAAATAACCTGTCTAAGTGGCTATCAGTGAGAGGAAGATTGCGGATAGTATATCTCAAATGAAAGATAATAAGTAAAGCATTCAATCGAAACCAATGAAACTACTTCGAAAATCAATAAATAACGCGATATTGGATGAAACACTATAAACATAACATAAAAACAAAACGTTTCACACGGCGTTAATATGAAGAAACGATCCACATAACTACAACTACTGACACGAAAGAAAATTACAAATCGAATGAAAATGATCAAATTATTCATTTAAGGATGCAAATGGTCTCCTGATCCTTCTGCGCAATGCATTTCCCAGTTTGGGCGATTCTCGAACAACACTGGACGATAAAACTTTTGCAACCATGCGCCCACCTAACTTACTGAACGCAGACTGAAAATTAGAAATCTTCTTAAGATATTCAGACGCTCGAATATTTCATCATGTAATTCGTTCCATGCATGTGCGTGAAATTGTTTCGGCGACTACATTTATCAAACAAGTTCAGTAAGAATAAAAAAAAGCGAGAACAAGAAACCAACTCGTCGGTTCTTCGTAACGTTCGTTGAGGGTGAGAAATTTTGATTGTTGCGAAAATCGTCTTCGTGAAGATCGCGCTCACTGAAAAGTGACGAAACTTCATGCGGATACGACCTCATATGGTACGGCGCAAGCGTGTTACGTCTTTGTAGCTCTCTTATGCGATCGCTGTCGATGCTGTTTGATGAGCTGGCCGTTCTGCAAATTCTCATTCGTTTCAATCATTGGTAATGAAACTGCCTGAATCTGATTCAGAACAATGGCGTTTTCATGTCGGTTTTTTATTTCTTCTCAAATCTTTAATCGTTTTTATCACCAACAAAACGTCAACGATACAATTTTGAGTATGTCGCAGAAAGTTATAGGTTTGAAAAAATAGACCAAAAAACATACGCATTATGGGAATTCAGCATTGACTGAGAGAACGTGATACTTTTGTCTGCTGATGGGTGTTCGATTAGGGTGGTCGACAGTATTCCTGGAAAACTGAGCCCGTACGTGGTTCTTCCTATAGTCCCTGAGACCATACTGCTTTCTTCATCGGCTGTATTAAGTCTGATGACGCCTGAAAATAGAAAGCGGTAAATGGGAGGTAATGTCGTTGTCAGATTTTGCGCCTTCATCCAACAAATCACTCGGTTCAGTGACATAAACACGGGTCACTAATGTATTACTATGGTTGTGAAAGTTAAGTCTACGATCAACGACTTCTGTTGTTTCCACAGCAAAATCGATCGACGCTCGGCTTTGTTGAGTGGGCAACAGAAAAGAACAGAAACTGACCGGATTCGTGACATAGTGGAGGAGCTTTTCTACTTTGAACCACCTCTTCTTGAAGCACTGCATAGCGTTTCGCCTCCAGCTGGAGGTTCGTCTCCAGCTCGTTCTGCTTTTCTTTCAGATTCTGGTATTCTCTGTGCTGCTGATCCGCTTTTTCAGTTGCTTCTTGGTATCGTCGTTTCAGATCTTCCTTCTCGAATGCAAAGTCTGAATAAAAGCTTATCAAAATACACCAATCAAAATATTCAGTGCTCGAAAGAAGCGGAAAAATTGCAGCTGTAAAAATTTCCAAGTAACAAAAATGTTACTTACAAAATATTTTTCGGAGATATTCCTAGCACTTCAATTTCGAAATATCCAATCAAAATTCATCAGCTTTCAAAATTTCGAATCCTCAGTTCACTATTCAGGAGTGTGAATATTACGCGGAGATATTCAATAAATATAAATGAAAATAACGATAAAAACAGAACATTGAGTTACCGTCAAGTTGCTTTTGCATTTTTTTATTCGTCTCCCGTTCTTCAGCCAATAGTTGGCTAAGGTGTTCCATATTGCTCTTGAAGCACACAGCATTCGCTTTTTGCTCATCCCTCTCACGCAATACACTCTCGTTTATCGCCTCAATACCTGATAACTTCTCCTCGTAGCGAGACGCTCTCATTTCATACTGAAACAATAATTATCTAAAACAACCACCAAAGATTTCAGGGCATTTTCCATTGGTGATAATACAACAACCGAAATATGCATAATGCGAAATTCAATTGTAAGTTTCGATGAGACGAGAGAAATGTTAAGCTGAAAAACTTGATCACCTTTTGACGCATTGTTGCCATCATTCGAATTTGTTCGCTTATGATCGCATCTTTTTGTTTACGCTGAAATGAAATTTAGACCAAGTTCATGGTTTGGCATAGCTGACAGCAGTAATCAAATGCTTATGATCTCAATAAGCGGTCAGCGTCAATCATATAACTGGTATGATTTTAAATAACTTCAAAGATAATTATTCAAAAACTCTAAGAAACAATTTTATGAAAGATATACATCATTTTTCAGTTGTTCTATTTGTCTTTTATATCCGAATTCCCGTTGCTCCTCATAGGAGGCTCGTCGAACAAGTTCCTCAGATAGATTCGCATGCATCTGCTTCAATTCAGTTGCTTCTTCCCATAAGCTGTTGTGCTCGCGACGTATTTGATCCAACTGTAAACTTACAAGTGAACAGTCTTGCACTGAGTTTTCATACATAAAGTTGCTTAGTAAATTTCGTCTACACTTCAAAATTACAAAAATAATCAAAGCATACAAGCATTAAAATTCGAACAAACAACATCTACACATAACTTTAATAAGAGACAAACTAGAGAAGTTTTCCTACCTCACTCTTCAGAAGTGCGTCTTTATGTGCGGCAATTTCCGATTGTGAAACCTAAAAGGAACATTATTACTAAAAATTTTAGTATGGTACAGCTGCATACTAAAGTTTTTTTCTTTCCAAAGACTGTTCACAAAGGCGCTGAAAAAGTCAAAAAAATTTAAAAACCAACCTTAGCGTCTTCCAGGCGATTGATCTGTTCACTTAGCGTCTTCATTTGTGCATTCATTTTCTTCTGCTCACATTCAGCCTGAAGGATTGAAAAGATTTGCAAAATATTAAAATAATGAATGACAGAACCAGACTTTGATGAGTAAAATCTAATAAAACACAAATAAATCTCACGATCAGCTATTTGTAAGATTATAAGAAATATTTTAAAATGTGCATCGAAAATTACGAACCAATTCACGATCGTGAACGAATTTCTGACGAAGTTCTTTAATTGTTGTGTTGTAGTCGTTGACTTTCTTTTCCAATTCTTCGTTCCGACCAACCAACGCTGTCAGCTGACGTTGTGCTTCAGCGCACTTATCATTGCTCTCCATTTCGAGTTCATTGACTAAGCTCACCTTTTCAGCCAACTATAATCAACGAGTAAACATTACAACCGACTTTCGAAGTATTCGAAGAAATATTTTACTCCCGATGAGCAATCAATTAGTCTCTCACTTCGTCTATCCGACCAAGTCAAAGAATATACCTGAGAGTTTCTACTGAAAAAAAACCGACGAATCTAGCGTCGTCGAAAAAAAAGATTCATCAGAAATTGTATACACACCTCCGATAACAATTCCTCTTCTCGTTTCTTTGAAGATTCCTTTTGAGAGGCCAGCTGTACCTTCACATCTTCACGTTCCTTTACCACTGACGATAAGCGAATTTCTAAGTCTGCCTTCTAAAAAACATTATTGTTCAATGATCAAATCATAAAAACTGATATCTTCCTCGACGCATCAATGAAGACTTTTGAAGTTACGTTCAGTGGGACACGCGAAAAAACACCTGATAATGAAAACGTATCATAATGCAAAAGAGTGTGACAACCAAACAATTTCAAGTACCTCTTTCGCAGCAAACTCTTTCGCCTCTTCTGAATGACGCTCGAGTTTTTGAAGTGCGTCTTTGAGTGTATCAATTTGTCGTTGATATTCTGCTTTCTCAGCTGACCATTGTTTCATCTATAACTGCATGAATAAAGTTCATAGTCAAATGTTTCGATGAAGCGTCACCAAAATTGATCTCTCTCTAATCATTACACAATTTCGAGTAAACAGCAGAATGCGTACATCGTTGCATTTAGTTGTGTCGTGTGACTTGAACAAATCATTGCATTCAATGGGAAAGAAATAAAGCGAATACCGTAAGCGATGCTTACCCTCGAGATTGAATCCTTATGAAGCGAGTTCAATTCATTCTTCTGACACTCGAATCGCTCCCTCAATTTTGACATCTCTTTTTCGCATTCCTCAAGCTCCCTTTGTGTTGTTTCCGAACTGGCCATTAAGTTCATTTTCTCAGTAACAACCTAAACCACGATCATGGTATTTTTTTCATCATTGCACATGAGTAATTTTTGAAGACTCCGATAGAAAATGTATGACAATGATTCGAATGAATGAACGAAGTGGTCACAAATAAAAGAAAGCATGTTCTGGAACTGCTCAAACCTGTTTGAATGATTCCTGCAGTTCAGTGAGTGATTCCGTGATCGACTGGTTTTCGGTTGACACTTGGCTGAGTTTTGTTCGCTCAAATTTGAGTTCGGATTGCGATGAGAATAACTGCCTTTCGACATCCGAAAGTTTCATTCTCAACTTTCGAATTTCTTCGCACTGCTTCTCTCGCTCTTCTAACACTTGCTTCATTTGCATATCCAGCTAAAGAAATCTCTATTTATCTCAGAAGCTGATCATCACCCATATCGAAACACATTTTACAACTGTAATTTATGAAGAAGTCATCTTTAAATATCAAGAAATATGTGGACCAATTGATCAAGTATGCTTTTTGCAGTGACGAAATAGTAAGGAGTATTGGAACATCTTAGCGAAAAATACAACGGATGGAGTGCTTGTCATTTGTACCTCTTGTTTGGTTTGTTGCTCTTCAAGTTTTCGCTCTTGAAGGCTCAGTTCAGTGGCCAGATCTTGACATCGGTCCACTTGTAGCGATAATTGAAAGTCGTAAGCTTGTTTCTGAAAACATATTAGTCAACGATTGAATTGATCAAGTGAATATTCGGCAGAATCAATCAGAACAAAGTAAAATGAATGTTAATCTCTAATTATTTTACTCACCTCATCGTGTATCCTTTCTCTCAACCCTTCAAGCGTCATTTTCAATTCGTCGATTTCATTGTTTCGAATCTCCAACAACCGTTTCATTTCATTGATGGAATCCGTTTTATTTTGCAAATCCTTCAACGAATAATTATCCTTTTAATGTCTTCTAATTTAATCATACAACATAAGGGTTATACCACTTCTAAACCACACGAATTAACATGAACGCTAGACGTGGAAGAATCGCCTGCATTCATTCAGCATAAGCACGAAACAATCAACATAAATGAGTCATAACGAAACGATTCAATATCGTTTGTTCGTCCGATGTTATCAAAACTAACTTTTAACACATAATACGTCAATACATGTAAACATTTCAGTTTCTGGAACTATGCAAGAAGCAATTCGCTGCAGTAATCATTACCATCCAAGAAATGATAATTTGTAAATAACACTTAAATAAATTCACTACGAATGTTTCATAATGAAATAGTTCACCTGATAAAGACGTTCATTCTGTTGGTTAGAATCGGTGAGCTTCTTCATCAACGCTTGGTTCTGAGTACGTTCACTTTCCAACTGGCCGTTTTTTTCGCTCAATTCGTAATCGGAACGTCTCAGAACCGTCTTCAAAAAAACAGACCATATAATATGGCAAACCAATAATCATCCTGATAGCAATAATTTTCTTCGAACTGCCGCATTATGGGACAGAAAAATTGCTTTTAACGCACAGCAGGTAATAAAACAATTTTAAAATCCCCGCTTCATTAGAAAAAAATGCAGACGTGATGCATTCAATCCTGTCAACTAGTCCCATGCAGAATGTTTACTCTTAAGAAAACCTCTGTGAAGAGAATGAATAATGCTGCAAATATTGCTAGTACTATCAGAAGTAACCTCTTGAATCAGCTTCATTTCCATCAAATCGTCGATTTTTCTTTTCGACTCTTTGACGGCTTCTGCGTTCATGAACGCCTTTTGTTTCCATTCTTCCGATTCAACTTTGGCCAAGTGCGATTCCTTTCGCAATCGTTCCGTTACGGACGCCATATCGTCCGCTCTACAAACGACAATTAGAATAATAAATTGCATTTTTATATCAATGAAATGGTTAATAAGCCAAAATTATTCAAGACTGACAACAAATAAAACAAGAATGATTATGCAACGTTCTGAAGTCAAGAATGTTCTCAACGAAGAATCAGCAAATCAAAAGAGAAAATTAATGGTAAGAGTTATAGCAAGAACCGTTTTGAAAGCTTCAATATCTCAGCGTTCAAACTTGACACTCGCCCCTCCAGATCATCTTTCTCGCATTCCAGGCAATTGATTCGCTCTCGATAATTCTGAAGCAATAAAGTTATGAAAGCATTGGCATCGTATATCTGACATGAACCACCAGAAAAAACATCCGTTGTCAAGTTCTACTACTGATAGAAGAAGAGAATTACTTTAATCTCGCGTTCTTTTTGACGCAGAATACGTGCGTCTCGAATTCTTGGTGAAGACAGCGATTCAGCGAGAGGACTCTGTCTTGTGAGTGAATGATGATGATATCTACGTGTTGTTGTAAAACCCGACGGTCGAACTCTTGACAAAGTCTGCAATTAATCTTCCTAATGAAGTCTGATAGTTAGTATCAAAACCTAGAACAATTTCCGAGTCTTCCTTAAGACATATGAACAAGCTCATTCTCGACTTGGGATAGAGCAAAATAATCAGTATGATCAAGAAGCGTTCATACCGCAAGGAAATACCCAATAAGATTGACGAATAAAGTCAACTCATACTACATCAACCTTCAAAGCAGGTAATTTAAGAGGATCTTCTGTGCGGCTCACACGAGGAAAGCTCACGTCTAATCATGATTTATAATGGGTATTTAATGAATTCGTCACTCGAACTTGATCACATCAAAAACACAATACGTACTTTTGGTGTTGATGGCGTTCCATCTTGAACGCTTGGTTCAGCTTGAAGACCCTGTGACAAGATTGATGGCCACGAGTCAATTGGATCCCAATTTGGCTGATCGTCGATATGAAGAAAGATGGCGTTGAGATGCTCGAATATATGGGAACTCAAGCCGTAATTGTCGTACAACAACTGCTCGTGTGTTATTCGCATCTCGTTTATCAACCCCACCAAAAATTTGACCACCTCGAATTTATTGCCATCCGACGCCTGTCCAACACTCAATTGGTCGATAATCGATGAATCGTTCGAGACCTTCTTCAAATATTCCATCGCTTCCGAATACGCCCTCTTCGGCGAATCGCACGTGACCAAGCGTTTCTGACCAGTTTCCCTAAAAAACATTCATAAGTTTCCATTTCGCATACCTTCACTTAATTTTAGCATTGATGAATTAAACCTACTATTAAGCATTTCACCGTTTCTTAATACATATTCATTGTTTTAGTTTTAATTGCAAATCCTTGGCATATAAACGTATTTCTGAAAAGGCTCTCAATTAAATATGATGAAGCAAGAGCGATTCATAGTTTTTCGAACGATTCTAAATTAATCACTGCTTATATGAATATGAAGAGGACCGTACATGAAAGAAACAATTGAAGAAATATGTCCTCGCCACAGATCGTAAAATTCGCGAACTGGTTCCACGCCCAAACTGACGCCGAACCCGACGACCTGAATTCATATAAGGTCTTGAAATGAACGTAAAAAAGGATATGTGAAATATTGCTTGGTTTAGAGTTACGTTTAGATCTTAATTTACATTCGATGAGGTTGTTTGATCATCTATCTATTCAAAGAGTGCCTAAATTTTCGTATGGGTAATTGCAGAGAAAAAAGTGATCAAACTGCATGACTCCATCTGTTGCCCCAGTTTACGTTTTGCGACGAAAAGCTTGCCCTCAAGGCATGATCATAACAGAAACAAGATTGTGTGATATGAGAGAATGACTG